ATCTATCTATCTATCTATCTATCTATCTATCTATCTATCTATCTATCTTCTATCTATCTATCTATCTATCTATCTATCTATGTCTGTCTATCTATCTATCTATCTATCTATCTATCTATCTTCAATCTATTTAATCTGTCTCTCTATTTATCTATCATCTGTCTATCTATCTATCTCTTACCTATGTATCTATCTATGTACCTGTCTATGTATCTATCTACATATCTATCTAATCTATCATCTATTTATGTATCTATCATCTATATCTGTACCGATATCTACATCTTATCTAAGTCTAGAAATGTAACAATAATAAAGAAGAAGTCATAAATTTGAGAAGGAGCAAGGACATCGGGAGAGTTGCAGTGGGAAGAGAGAGGAGTGGAAATGTAAAAATAGTACTCCTTATGAAACTATCAGAAGAAAATTAAAAATCCAAATTAATAACAACAACAAAGGAATATACAAAATAGGAAATCCTTAGAGGAATTTACATATATGGGTGACATAAATGTAATTGGATTTAGGAAATAACTTCATCAGAGGCCCAACATACAGAATACTTGAGCTAGTTGAAACCTAGTTTAGTGTTCTAAGGGGGCTGCTGCTGATATTCAGGCTCAGGATGATGGCTGCATAGATGGAGACAAACGAATCAATGAAGGCTTGGTTTTTAAAACAGAGACACCAGAGATAACAGTAACAAGCCTTACCCACACTAGAGACTCTGGGTAGTTTGAGAAGTCAGACCATACAGATGTTTGTGGGACTGCTTTGGTGTGAGCATTTGTAGATCAATAGCTTTTCAAAAGCAGCTGAGTTTCAAGGAAGCATTAGGAGATGCCTTGGAGAGCTTAGGCAGATAGCTTAATAAAAAGTTGGATTCACAATATTGAAGCTCATATAGTCGGTGGTTTAAGATATAAATATGTACACCTCCAAAATGAAGACAGAATGAAATGAAATGAATACATGATATTAATCAGAGAGAGAGAGAGAGAGAGAGAGAGAGAGAGAGAGAAAGAGAGAAAGAATGAGAGCGAGCGAGACAAAGAATATTACATATAAAAAAAGGAAGTCAGGAGATATCTTAAATCTGGGGTATGGAGAGAGAATCTGCATCCTTGTCTTATAAGCATAAGACATGAGCTTAATTTCTATAACCCACATGAAAATGTTGAGATTATGACAGTGTGCATGTATTCCCAACAATGGGAAGCAGAGCATAACAGAACTCACTGGCCAGCCCATCTAGCTCAATTATAAAAGTCAGGCCAGTCAGAATCCCTTCATCTCAAAAGAAGAGGGGAAGAGTCCCGAGGTTGACACCTGAGGTAGGTTTATGGTCTTCTACACGCATGTCCATACGTGTGCAGATGCAATTCTGCAACACGCTTGTACACACATGTGGACGCGTACCTCCACGGCACGTGAAAACATGCGTACCAAACACACAAACACACACGCAACGAAAGAAACTCCAAGCAGTAAAAAGCCAGATGAAAAGATGATATGAAATCATCTCCAGAGAATTTGTGAGAGTGGAAGGAAAAATAGTCAAAGTGACCAGCCACAGACACTAAGCAGGGTACTCAACAGGAAGAACTGACTCACAGCGTCAGGCGTTGCTCCGAGGCCAAAGAAGAAAAGGCCAGAATGTTCGTGAGATCATCAGGAGGCAGACTGTGAATTTCTCCACCAAGCCTTTGTCTCGGCTGCCTCTGGCCTGCTTTTGTGTATGTGTATCTGGGATCTCACCGTAGGGTACTTGTTTCTGTGGCTAGCTGAGTGTGGCGTCATCTCCTTCCGTAGGGGAAGAGGAGTTCTGTTTTGTGCCTACATCCACATAATAGATCCATGTGGTGCTGGTGAGGGGGTTGAACTCCTAACCTGAAATGAAAAGTCCTTTTTCCAAAGCACTGTGCTCCGAACCCTCAGTTGTGGTTATCACCTATTATTAACCGACCTCGTTTTCCAGAAATTTCGCCCTATTTCTCTATTGGTGCATGTCGTTGACACATGGAGTGGCTTTGCTGAGTGATGCGATTTAAAGAGATCAACCCTGAACCAGAAACCATCTTTATTAGCTTGGGAACAAAAATGATTCTTCTTACTCTGTCAAAACATGAATTACATTTACTATTGAAATCAGAGCTATACTGAACATTGACGTAGGAAGAACTTAGTACGTGGTCACCATATGCTGTAGATTAAACTTTACAAGTAGAATGAATAAATTACCTTTTTCGCCTTCGCTGTCAAAGGACAGTCTCCTTCTTCGCAGTTTACCGGTGTCCCCTTCGGAATCATTTATAGATTGGGACTGCAGCAAAAGATCAGCCTTTGTTAATGGAATTCAAAGGTAAACACAGAAGGTTACTCAAGTTAACTTTACTCAAGTTAACTATGATGTGTTATCAGCAATTCTTCACTGTGCCATACCACATCAACCTCTTTAAAACTCAAGAATTACATTTTTGGCAAAAAATTAAAATACTTTGTTGAAAGGTTGTCTCTAAATTTTAAAACAGATTGATAGTTTCTAGCAGTTTCACAATTTATTTGGGGAAACCATGGTTTTGTAGAATTAAGAATGTTGGGATCTGGCATTAGCACTTAGAGATAAACTTTTAAAAAATTAAAAGTTTAGAAAACATAGAATAACCTGGATTCTTGTCAACAAAATGTATGACTCAATTAAAATTAGCTGGGATGTATAAATTATTTGGAAGAACATGAGATTAAATTTTAATATAGGTATATATGATTAAAGACAATAGATATTATGTTGAGTTGAGAGGGCTTTATTACACGGGTTCAGCTCTTCCTCCTCTTTTGATGTCTGTACAAAATCATCCTTGTAAATCAAAGCAGAAGGGAGACCCTGAAGTGTTCATTTGGGTGCTGCCTGAGTATCTGTACAAAGGAGTCACATAAGGTTCGTATTTGCTTTTAGACAAAACCAGAATGAGGTTGGTGACACCTAAGTGAGATCACAGTAAAGTTCCATTAAAACTATCAGGAAAACATTTTCTTAAGAACTGGAGTTTTTAGTGTATGCTTTAGTTTTTCAGTGGTTTGGAAAGAAGGCGTTATCTCAGTTGATGCATTAGAATTCTGAATGGCAACATTGTGACACTAGAAATGCTGCGGTTTTTTTTTTTATTTGTTTGTTTTGTTTTTTGTTTTTTTGTTTTTTGTTTTTTTAAGTCCTTCCGAGTGACTGGAAACCCGAGTGACTATAAATCCAGAGACTTAAATCCAACACATTTTTGCCTATATACTGATTTAGGGATTTTTTTTCCCTATAGAATACATCAGCTCATTTGTAAATACACTGGACAAATACCAAGTGCACAATGTTTGATTTTCATTAAATGGGCCTTTAGAATTGGAATGGAGTTCTGAAATCTGGGGGATTAACCTAGTAATAAATTGTGAGCTACAATATATGTTCTTTCTCCACAGAACATGACTTCACTGTGGAGCACAGTAAGAGCAACACTCTCAAGATTATTTTAGGTTAAATAATGTGTATAATTAAAAACAAAATATTATTTTAATTATATTTTATTTTTCCCATAGCCTAGATTTTGACTCTATTGTCAGACTTAATTAATTCATACTTCTTTAATTTGAGAATTGAGGTTAATATAAATATAAACTTGAATAAGGCTAATCTTTTCAACATTACAGAGAAATCAATAGCAGCTAATACGGTAGAATATTTCACCCTCTATGTAAGATAAACTCTTTTAGGGGATTTTAAAATTGCTTAAAACCACTCATTTTCCTACAAAACATCAGCATAAACAAACCAAGACTCTAAGAATCTCTCAAAGGTCAAATTAATTAACCTTAAAAATTATTCAACATCTTTTAATACCTTATTCCTGCCCTATAATTTGCTAATTTTAATATCCAGCTGGCCTTTTCTTTGAGTACTTAATATTGATAGATTTTTGTCACAATAGTTTGCTTGTTACTTCCAGAAGTATTTGCAAAACCTAAGAATGACACTTCAGAAGTGTGCAGATCAGCAGTGGGCCTCTACCTTTGCACTTTCGTGTCTCAGGTTGAAAGTCAGCTCTAGATTGGTCAGAAAGTGGTCAGAAAACTCAGGATACATGTCTAGGACCTCCAGTAAGTCTTCACGCTGGATCTTATGCAGGTCACAGTACGTGAGTGCTCGCACATCAGCGTTAGACTTGCCGGGTTTGCCGTAAAGATGAACCATTTCCCCGAAGATATCATTTTTTCCTAAGAATAAACCAGAAGATGAAGAGGAGGAAGAAGAGGAGGAGGAGTAGGAAAAGGAGGAGGAGGAGGAGGAGGAGGAGGAGGAGGAGGAGGAGGAGGGAGGAGGAGGAAGAAGAGGAGGGGAAAGAAAGAAAAGGAGAAATAGAAAGTGAATTCATTAAATAGTTTCTTCATAAAAGTAGAAAGGGACACCAACCAAGTGACAAATCGTTGAACCAAGGATTGCAGATAGAGGTCCTATACCAGCAGGTGCATAGATAGCAAAATTCTGTGTATGGACTGAATGTACTATGTCTGTAGAGTGGAACTTTGCTGAGTCAGTGGTTCTGTTATACTCGATTTCATTTCTTTTTTAAAGTTTTAATATTTTATTTCTTATTATATTCCCAACACATTTCCCCACGATTTACCATTTTCTCATGCACATGTCTTGACTTTTATATGTCACGATAAAACTTTCACCACCAGGTCTTAATCTATCCTTCTAACTGTCTCACTACTTAATTTCCAGCATGAACTCTTCACATGGATAGAGTCATTCTCCTTTCATAATGAATTGCATCATGTAGCTTCCATAACAATACTCCTCATGGACAGTGTTCCATATGCATTTCTGACATTCTTTCATGTGTCTCTGCTAAGCTTGTAGGATGTAGAGAATGTTTTGTTATACCCTGAGTGCTAGCTATGGATCTTGCCACATGGTTTTCTAAATCTGCTTCCAGATAGAAGTGTTCTGATGCTGTCAATTCAGCAATCTGAGAGGCTGAAATGAGTTGGATTCATGTTCTTTCTGTTCTGCCGGACCATGTCTGGAGCTTCTGCCAATTAACAGCTCCGCCATTCCCCAGCACCCACTGACATGAAGAAGTGCTTTCAATGCACCTTGTTTCTTCAAGTTATCAGTTTTGAATTTGCCTTTAAAGTATTTGTCTATTTGTTTAAATTATTTAGGTCTATGTCTTCCACATATATCGTCTTGGGTTTTGGTCACATGATCTTTGCTCTGAATCTTTGTCCCCTTTGTTTGGCTGCAAATACTCGGATTATGTTGCTATCTGGCTTCTGGTATTTCTCCTGATCACCTCCTAACCATGTGCTGTCTGATTTCAGTTTTATTCAACGACAAAAGTAAGAATAACTGGTATTTTCTGAGGACCATGTAGGTGCCAGGCACTGTGTCAAATTTTTGTTTGTTTAGATTATCATACTACCCCAAAAATAATTTTGTAAAGATGTGATTGAGATACAAAATTTATAAGTATTGAAAAAAGATTAAAGAGGTAAACTGACTAATACAAGGCCACTTCTTAGTTGTGTGGAGAGAGGAAAAGCCTTCAGGATTAAAGCCATGCATTTTACTTTAGAATCACTATCCTTACCTGCCTATGATATCAAATCTCATGGTATTTTCCAAAAAACGGCCATTGTTCCATTTCTGAATATGCAGCTTCTCTGTGTGCTTTTGGTGGATAGCCACACATATACTCTAAATTTGAGAGCTATCAAAGATGCTTAAACAACAAAACTTTACCATGTAAAAAATGCTGTAATGTTCTCATTTTAAATGAGAATTTAATAAGGAAAAGTAAAATACCATATGTGGTAATATACAAAAATTACACTAGAGAGAAGACATTAAGCATAGTTTAACTAAATACTTACACACTTTCGAAAACCAGAACGAAACAATAATTTTAGATGCTAAACTTATAAGGAAATAAGGTCAGCAAAGGAGAAGCTCTTGAAATTCTTTACTTTGGGTGGCTTAGTCTAGACATGGGGCTAATATTTTAATTAACTTCTTCTTCTATAGATGAGCAAAGAGGAAGTTCTGTGATGCTGAGCAGCACTCTATAGTCACTGTGGTCTCAGCACAGAAGCTGCTTGTTTTTCAGGCAGAAGCCAGGACAGGCGGGCTTGAAGATCGGCCTCCGCTTGCCATGGTATAAACCAGGACAGGTTGTCAGTGCCAAATCCCGTGGAAACTGCCCTTTGATAAGCAGCCTTGAGGTGATTTAGGACGTTTTCACTCCCTGAATCTTTATTGGGTTAGAAATCAAATTGTGTACCTTCTCTTTTGGGGGAATTTTTTTTGGACTGTAGTAATAACAAAATTATCAGAATACTTTAACGTGATTTGTTTGTGCTGTGAATCTAATGTGCCATACTCTGTTTCTGTCCAACAACGAAGAGATAATTCTCGTGAGTTAACCTTCAGATGTGAGCATTGAAAGATGAGTGAAAAGAAAACATCCAACTGCACGTAGTGATTGAGTGATTGACAGATAGATACTGGGAGCTGAACCTAGGCCCATGAACATGCTAGGTGAGGACTCTGTCTATGATCTACACCTCCCGGCCTGCATGCCTAATATTTAATGGAACAGCATATTAAATCTATAAAAAAAAAACAAAAACTGTATTTTCATTGGAGGTAGTGGGGAGAGAGACTTTTGATCCTTTTTGGTGAGATTTTGAGAAAGAGAATAGATTTGGCTTTTTCTCTTCTTCTCTTCATTACCTTAATTAAAAAAAATATTATGAGTTTATATAAGCAGGACTTGTGTGTGTGTGTGTGTGTGTGTGTGTGTGTGTATATATATATATATATATATATATATATATATATATATATATATATATATATAATTTATTACAATTTATTCACTTTGTATTCTGGCTGTAGCCCCCCTCTTGTCTCCTCACAGTCCCATCCACTCTCCCTCTTCTCCGCCTATACCCTTCTCCTAGTCCACTGATAGGGGAGGTCCTCCTTCCCTCCATCTGATCTTCGCCTATTAAGGCTGGCTACACTCCTCAGGGGAGGTGATTAATGAGCTGGCCACTGAGTTCATGTCAGAGACAGCTCCTGTTCCCCTAAGACCACTTGGAAACTGAGCAGCTTATGGGTTTCACTGAGCAGGGGCTTATGTTGTCTCCAGGCATGCTCTTTAGTTGGAGTACTGGTCTCTGCAGGCCCTTCTGGGCCCAGGTTTTTTGGTCTCTGAAAGACTTTACCCGTCAGGATATTGAAGGGGATACTGACACTCATAGCCAAACTTTAGGCTGAGTGCAGGGAACTTTATGAAGAAGGAAGAGATAGAAAGTCCTAGAGGGGACAGGACAAAGAGATCAGCAGGGTTTCTTTATAAAGAAACAGATTAGACTACATCTGAACTTTTTTTTTTAAATACACAAATCTGTTCATCACTCATTTTGTATACAGTATTCTTTACTCCTGATAATATACTCAGAGCTATATTCTACTAAGTAAGGACTCCAATTTATTTTCTAAGAATAAAGCAAATAAATGAATTTTATTAAAATATAAACTTATTTCATGCTACTGTAGGCACATGCTAATAGGTATGTCTACAACATTGAGTATTTCATATTAAGATCCTGAAGAATAAACTGTGAAGCCAAGATCACCTATGAAAAAGAAAATATGGACTATTTTTTATTTGGCCTCAAATGTCTAAACAGCGGTCAACAGCCTAAGAGAATCGTGAGGGTATTTACATATTAAACAAAAATTGAGACATTAAAAAAACATTTTCTGCAAGATTAATTTGATATACGTTGAATTGAAACAAATGTTTAAAATGATCATTGTTAAAGAGTTCTCTTCAGCCTAGTCATCTGTCATTCTGAACTAATGAGTGGTTGCAGCTACTCCTAGCTGAAGACGCCATCACTCCGTGCTAAAACACTCACCAAGGATAGCTACCACTATGTCATCCTTGAGGATTTCAATGGAGCCTCTGGATAAGAAGTACAGTGCGGTTAGGACATCCCCACAGTGGACCAGGGTGTCTCCTGGAGGGGCGTGGGTGGTTTTGAACTTCATGGCCAGAGCTCTCAGGCAGCCTTTACTGGCACCTCGAAAGGCTTTGCAGTTTTGTAGCAAAGTCTGGTTTAGATGCAGGCAAATGTCAGCTTGTAAACATTCTGGAAATCCCTTCAAGACCTGAAAGGAAAAAATAAAGAGTTTGATACTACCAGAACACCAGGAACTCCAACTTGAAATAAAGTCCATTACTTGATCAAAGACTCGAAGATGCAGTAATTGTCATGAATGAGCTTTTTTTTTTTTAATAATTTATCTAGCTTGCTTCCCTAAATGAATATTTGTCTTCAGAAGATGTTAAGTTTTAACTCTGCATTGTTCAGTGAATTACCTGAAGACATTCAACTTAACTCGAATGCTGTCTTATTAAAATGTTATGCCTACATATTTCTCATTACTTTTCTTCGTCTGCATTAGGCTATGTAAACTATCATATTGTGTTTGGATGTAATGCAATGCAACACTCAAAAGACACTGGTGAAAGGCAATGCAATCTGAAAGATGAGAACCCTTTAGAAGGAATTTCAAGTCTATTTAAATTGCCATCCTGGACATACATCTTCACTGACATAGCTATTTGTAAATATCATAAACAATGTAATATATTAAGTCAGTTCTACTTGGAATAGTTATATTTTTTATACACATTATACTATATACTTTGACAAACACCTAAAATATAAAGAAGGAGAAGAGTTGATGTACTTAGAAAGCAAACTTTAATTTTTAGTAATAGAAATAGAAATTTTAATTCTAGATATGGTGCTACTTTTAGAAGCTTACTGTTTAATTTAAACTCCAAGGAATAAATAAAACAATAATTTCTGAAAAACGTACCTCAGTAAGAATGGAATAAAGTTATCTTTTTACAAAATTATCAGTACAATGGGTTGAGGATACTTTTTATGTCTTATTCTTTGTGGTGTCATGTGGAGGTTTTATATTTTTTTATACTGACTCTTCCCTGTAAGTATAAGCAATTATAGTGTGAGGTAGATGGAGGGAGCATTATACAAAACAGTTTACAGGGTAATAATGCATTTAGTGGCTTTTCCTTTTCTGATTTTTATTGGCTCTACCTTAGTATATAATTCAATTTAATAAAAAGTAATCATAGTTCAGCTATAAAACAAATCAGATGCATTTAGTCCATAAATAAATTTAAAACTGAATGATGTTTGAGTCAAACTATAATTTTCAGTGTTTGAAATACTAAAACAACTATAGGGATCCAACTGTTAGTAAGCCGCTGTGTGATGTCGCTACCAAATTGGCTATGGTAGAAAATGAAAGGATTTTTAACATAGGTGAAGGACAACAGCCACATTTTTTATTCTTGTTTTATTCATTTACAGAGAGTAAAGTTCAGTGAAGAAAATTTATGGAATTATTATTATTATTTTTTAAGAATTTGCCACTGTTTGACTCTTGCGCAAGCCACTTCACCCATCTGCGTTTCTCTGCTATAAGATTAGAATCTTCACAATGCTGAGTTACGTTACACTAAATAGTGTGCCAGGCTATGAGCACTGCTTCCTCATTTCCACGCTGCCAACACTTTCACTCTGGTCCAGTAGATGCAAGCCTTCCTCCTGCATGATCTTTGAACACACATCCCCAAACGTCTCCTTACCCATAACTTCAGGCTCCATCTACATGAGTAGACTCATCCTAGTTTTCCTACTTGAACCAGAGGCCTCTCCAACATAACCTCCCTAAAATAACCCAATGCTGTCTCTGAAGCCAAATGGTGTTATCTTACTCTGATGGGGACCTACGTAGATTTAGATGTCCTCATGGAAGCAATGGATGACTGGTCTTTTCCATAATCTTCTTTTGAAATCATTGCACTGATTTTTTTTTTTTTTTGGCAAGTTATGCCAAGTTGTAGATGACCTTAGTTTGGACACTGTTTCTGATTTAAGAGCTACTTCCCTTGGGAATTATCTAGGAGAAAAATGCCAGTGTTCACTGGCTTCTGCATGTGTCTTTTTTTCCCCCCTTAGAAGCCATTTTTGGAATCTCACCATAACTCTTAAATGACCCCCTTAAAATATAGACAGATAGAGCACTACACCAAGTAATGCTTTCCTTTAAATTTAGCTAATAAAGTATCTTAAAGTTCACATAAATGCAAGAGGCTATTTTTCCTGTACAGCTGGAATGAGAATATTGAATTTAGAGTTACTGCTTCTGGCATATTCTTTGAAATACCCCTGACTACTGTCAGCCCATTGTGCTTCTGGGTATCTGCTGATGTGTCTACTGGTGTGTTTTGAGTTGTAAGATAGAGATGAGAGATGGTGTTTCCATCTTTCAAACCTGTCGTAATAAGCTACACAGTTAAATGAGCATGGACTGAAGAGTTCTTGATCCTTCACTTCTGTGACTCAGTATTTTATTTTTCAAAATTAAATTAATAACATTTGTTTCATAGAGTTGTGGCCACAATTAAAATATGTTAATGTAGGTAAACTATACAACATACACTTGTTATTCAATTCACATGTATTTCTGGATTCTTAAAAAAAATCAATTAAAAACAAGGAAATTATGAAATTTGCAGCCAAATGGTGGGAACTAGAAAAGATCATCCTGAGTGAAGTATCCCAGAAGCAGAAAGACACACATGGTATATACTCACTTATAAGTGGATATTAGGCACATAATATAGGATAAACATACTAAAATCTGTACACCTAAAAAAGCTAAGCAAGGAAGATGTTAGCTAAGTTGCTCAATCCTCAAACAGGATAGACATTGGAAGAAAGAGAAAACAGGAAACAGGACAGGAACCTACCACATAGGGACTCTGAAAGACTCTACCCAGCATGGTATCAAAGCAGATGCTGAAACTCATAGCCAAACATTGGGCAAAGTGCAGGGAATCTTATGAAAGAAGGGGAGAAAGAAAGACCTGGAGGGGGCAGGAGCTCTACAAGGAGAGCGACAAAACCAAAAAATGTGAGCCCAGGGGTCTTTTCTGAGACTGATACTCCAACTAAGAACTATTCATGGAGATAACCTAGAACCCCTGCTCAGATGTAGCCCATGGCAGCTCAGTCTCTAAGTTAATTCCATAGTAATGGGAAGAAGGACTGTCTCTGACATGAACTCAGTGGCTGGCTCTTTGATCACCTCCCCTGGAGGGGGGAAGCAGCCTTACCAGGCCACAGAGGAAGACTATGAAAGACAGTCCTGATGAGACCTGATAGTCTAGGGTCAGATGGAAGGTGAGGAGGACCTACCCTATCAGTGGACTTTGAGAGAGGCATCGGAGGAGATGAGGGAGGGAGAGATTGTGAGGGGATGAGGGAGGGGGCTAGAGCTGGGACACAAAGTGAATAAATTGTAATAAATAAAAAATAATCTGAGTGCATATTTCCCCCAAATAACAGACATATTTTCTTTAATTAATTTTATTTTCTGTTAACTGAGTGCATCCAATTTTAAAGATCAAGAAGCATCACCCACAATCAGTCTCGTGGCCTGCACCTTAGAAAATCAGTTCTTGCCTTTTTAGTGCGTATTCATTCATGTCTTTACTCACATAAATACTTTAATAGCACCAGGCACCAATTTAAAAAGAATCATAATGAATAAATCATGCTCTGGAAATGTAGCTAGTCTTCATTACAGATTAAACACAATTTTTACAGGTCTAATCAGAATTAGCTACACTGTCCTCCTGGTAGGATAGGACATTTGTGATGTGCATTTGTAATTATAATGGCCATTTACTGAACGCCCAAGTAACAGTTAATTCGAGGTGAGTAGAAGTCCTAATCTCATTTTTCTAACAGTGCTATAACAGGATAGCTTTTTAAGACTTTGAAAATTTCCCGGAAAACTCTGATCTACATTGGAAGGAACAAAATATCTTTATTGTGTATGATGTAAAACCACTTGTGCTTTGCCTTCTCTTTACTTGAATATATGTGAATAAATGTCTGTGATTCTTATAATGAACTAATAACTATTTAAGCATGAAATACTTGCTGTGATTGTTATATAAGTTTTGTAGTTTATTGCTTGAAGACCCCAAATATAAAAAAGACCTTTCAACATGAAGAACGCACTAATGATTTGGTAGCACTATTAAAGTCATGTTTAAAAAAATCACACAAAAAAGGGAAGGACAGAATTGTTACCTAATGGACATCTATGAAATGTGATTTCAGAAGCATCTGATTTTATGGTAGTTTCCCTAACATCTGTATATTCTAATCTACTCTTAATGACAATACATTCTTGTTGTTATTTGTCTTGACACTGAACAAGCATTACAGCATTACAGCCGAGTGCATGCTGAAGTTGATACAGGCCTAATGTGCCTCACTTGATATATGTACTAATCAATATGACATAAACTTAAAGTAGTAGATCCTTCTATATAAGTTTTTACATCAATATCAATAAAATGAGTATTGGTCTACTAATTAAAAAGCAGTTTTATCTATTCTGATGACAATATAATTGAAAAAATATATCATAGGTGTCCTGACTAGTTTTATATCACCTCAAGACAAGCTAGAGTTCTCAGAGAGGAGGGAACCTCAATTTGCCCTGTAGGGCATTTTCCTAATTAGAGGGCCCACATCATTGTGGGTGGTGCCATTCCTGGGCTGGTGCTATATAAAAGCAGGTTGAGCAAGCTATGGGGAGCAAACCAGTGAACAGCACTCTTCCATGGCTTCTGCATCTGCTCTTGCCTCCAGATTCCTGTCCTGTTTGAGTTCCTGTCCAGAATTCCTACAATTATGAAAAGTGGTTGTGAAGCATAACCTAATTTGGTTTGGGTCATGTTATTTCATTACTTCAATGATAACCCTATAGGTTTTGATTAGTGTCACTGAGTGAATAAATATTCCTAATCAGGAAAATTGTTAACAAAAAATTTTGAGAATGTCATTATCACACCATTTTTCATGAAGATAGGAGAAATATTTATTTCCTTAATAAAAATTTTCCTGATCAAAAAATATTTCTAAATTAAGATAATTTTCTTAGTACATTGGCAGCAAACCATTACTCTTCCCTTATATTTGAGACAGAAGATTCAACATTTGCTGCTTTCTGTCTCTGAGAAACACCCTCATGATGGATGCCTTTCCCAGATT